TCTGTAAGACACCATGGTGACCAAAAAAAAACTAAGACAAAATGCTTTGTCTGTGAAAGATAACTTCAGTGCTCCAATGTAGCAAAAATGTTAGCATCTTTCACGTCAAGAAGATGTTTCAAAGAAATTAATAATAATAATAATCCTTGCATTTGATATAGCGCTTTTCACGTCTTCTAGACATCCCAAAGCGCTTCACAGAACACAGTGTAAAGTGAATTGACTGTATATTTGTGAGCGAACGCGGCAGCCAATTGCGCACAGCAATGTCCCACAAACAGTCGTAGATTAAAAATGACCAATTTTATTATTGTTTTTTGGAGGAATTATTATTAGGCGTGTGGAGTAAGGAAACTTGCCCAAGGTTTCGCCCTCTGCCTGGAATTGAACTCAGGTCTCTCGCTTGCAAAGCGAGTGCTCTAACCACTGAGCTACAGGACTCCACATGCTACTGTTTAAACTCTTGATCAGTAAATGCTGACTTTAAAGCTCAACCGCATGATATGCCAAAATTCGAATGTTTTTGTTATTCCACTAATAAACTTATACTTTGAAAAAAAATTAAAGGTTGCATTTATTTAACAACTTTTATTGAGCAACAATGTCCAAGAAAGCATTAGACAATACATTTGTTGAGACATATGATGAAAGCAATGGTTAGGAAAGGTGCAACCGAGTACATTGCCAATCAATATGGGAAGACTGACCTGCTAAGCTATCTGCTGGTCAGAGAACACAGTGACTTCTGAGAGCAACTAGCTTTCTGCGTATGTTGCTAACTGGACCTGCACAGCTTCTGGAAATAACAAAATCACTTCTTTTACATTACGCCTGATTCTCTGGAACTGCACCAATCTCACATTTTAGACTCTAGAACAGGTCCACGCAATCCACAACCGCTTTGCTCTTCTGTATCCGGTCAGAAAATAAGACAGCCAGTGAACCTAGTGGTAGTAGCGTAGTAGAGGAACATATTTGGGGTGATTCAAGAAAGTTCACAAAGAGCATGACAGAACAATTCAGTCACACTGACAATCTTTCTTGGATATCGCATCAACAACAAAAACAACAAATTACATTTGTGTAGTGGCTTTCAATTACAAGTGTTTTTTTTGGCCTTAGGTTAGTTACCGTTTTCTTCTTTGTTCATGAACATCACAATCTTGTGCGGGTGCTTTCGCATATAATAGCTTACACCATTTTGCAGCTCCCAACAAGCTCAAGCCAAGTACTTTGTTGTGATGCTAAGACAGTTTAGACAATGGTTAGACTGCTCCTGAAGTCCTTTGTTTTCCTTTCTATTTGAAAACTTACTATCACAGCATTGTAAATTTCATGTCTTTCCCATGATTAACCAAGAAAACGTTTTTTAAAAAAAACATATCAGAAGCATCAGCTTGAAGAACCTTCTCCAGAGGAAACACTTTCTCCTCTTTGCCCTAAGGCTGTTGAAGGGTATTGTCACAGCATATTCTTGTCTATTTGGGAACCAGACTTGGGGAACGTTTCCTCTCGTGGCTAGACTAGTTTCTTTTTAATTTTCACTGAATATTCCCTAAATCATCATTTAGGCTGTTTGTGGGAAATTGTTGCACACAAATTGGCTGCCATATTCACCTACAAGATTAGTCATTGCACTTTACAGTGAATCTTGTGAAGTGCTTTGAGACGTGCTCCCCATGTGAAAGGCGCTTTTTCAAATGCAGCGATTATTATTATTAATGCACAGGTAAAGAATGGGTTAAAAGTGTAAGATGGTATAGTAATCTCAACACACTGCAGGGAGGAGGAAGAGCGTGTAGGAATTTATAACACTTAGTAGAAGACATATTCTCCTTTAAGCTATCATATTAAACATAAGCACGTTATCTTCATTATAATAGAACTATCATTCTTGTGGATTTCATTAAACCTGTGATGAGCATTCCCCACTCTCCTCCTTTGAATATTATGGTGTTATCTATCAGAATTTGTTTTAAAGGGGCATCATACTGGCACAGATTTGAAGCTACAGCAACCTGTTCCAAAGGGTAGCAGGTTGCAAGTTCACTGTAAGCTGGAGTATTTATTTCAGATTTCTCAGTGGGAAAGGAAAGAAAATAGAATATTGATCACTTTCATGCAGTTTCTTGCAGCCCTTTATGCAGTGGCAGAGCCTGAGAGCAGGAAGTGGTGAACTGTGAAAGGCAACAAATGCTTAGTCTCCCCCACTGTTTCTTATTGGCATCAGACTCCCAACTGGAATTGGACATCAAGTTATGAACATGTGCAAAGTTGATAAGATTACTAGGGAACAATTTACTCATCATGTCCATACTAACTTTGTGCCTTATGATTTGACAACTTTGCACATGCAGGCAACAAGATATGCAAAGAAAAGCTTTTAATATTTTTGTGCATTGTAAGATTAATCAGAGAAAGGGACAGATTACACATAGAGGTGGAAAAAAATCACAAAGATAAAAATTTAGAAAGAGTGGGAGAGAGAAAGCAACAGTGAAGACAAGCCTCAAAAGCGCCTGGGACATTATTTTCATTTTCAGCCTCCCCTTTATTGAAGGCTTGAGCTGCACCTATACCCTCTCTGTTTGGGACTGACATGGGCAATTGAGTATCCAAAAGTGAGGAGGAGCAGGAAAAGAGTTTTCAGAATAGATTTGAAAAATCTAGTTGTTTACTTCATGTGAGGCCATCAGCTGTTCAAGTCTGGAAATTCCCAGTTGAGACTCATTTCCCCAACAACACTTCATGCCTGCAGCAGAGCAGCTAATTTCAGCAGAGCCTGTCTCCAATAGTACACTTGTGCAGCCCTCCAATTACGAACACAACAGGCCTGCCGATCACATCAGCTGCTTTCTGTCAGAAGCTATTTAAATTCTGTTGAATTAAACACCTCCTGGAAAGACCCTGGTTGTATGACTCTGTGCAAGGATCTGATGGTGGAATCATTCCACATCCCATGAATTGCAATTGGCCTCAACCCATTCACAAGGTCTTCCTCAGGATTGCATTACTGGTTGAGTTGTCGTGGAGTGGGACAGAGGGGTTTGTAATACATGTGCGAAAGATGTAAGATTCATGATCTAACCTCTTCCGCTTCTTTCTCCTTGAGTTCAGCTCTCTCAGCACTTTAACATATTAATGTGGCATTTCCAGGCTGAGTAGTATTTCTCCTTTTTCTGACAGACTCAACTGACATCACCCATTAAAAGCCATACCTCAAGACAGATCGAAACAGCTTGATTCTGTGGTGGGAGGGAGGCAGGGTGGGTGTTCTGGAAGAATGAGATCAGATGGAGTAAATTACAGGAGTATGTGCAAAAGGCATGTAAATGGAACAGAAAAGATTGCTCTTCAAAGGAGCAGTAGAGGCATGATGGGCTGAATGTGTTGTAAATTTATATGATTTCTGTGGGCCAAATGGCCTTTTACATCAGAACCAATCCTATGATCTGGTGAATAGCAGGTTTTCTTCATGTGGATATAAAAAAACCTATTGTCCAGAGATGTCTCATATATACTCCTTTGTGACTTTAGAAAGTCAAATTTCATATTTTTTTATTCACAAGATCACAAGATGGATGAAGGCCTTTTAAACCGATTTGACTTTATTCTTCCAGCATAACCACCTGAATGTCCTCCCATCACAGTATCCAAACAGATATTTTTGGCCAGCATCCTGGTTTCAACAACGCTTCCTGATAACCTACAAAATACACAATTACTGCACTTTACAGAATATCCTGTGAAATGCTTTGAGACATGCTCCTAACATGAAAGTGCTAAATTAAATAAAAGGATTATTATAATTTAACCTGCTCCAGTCATTAATTGCCCTCAGGCTAAAGAAATACTTCCTGGCATCTGTCCTGAAATTCCCTGTTGCTACCCTAAACCTGTATTCTTTTATTCCGCTGTCTTGATGCATCCAAAAGTGTACTCTGAGTTGATTTTCTCGATCCCATTCAAAATCTTACCCATCTCTACAAATCCCCTCTGAAATATCTCTTTTTGAGATTGAAAACCCAGCCCTTCTAACTCACCTCCTCCAGCAGAAGCAGACCTGTTTGTGCCACTCCCTTCTCCCCCTTATCACACAACAACTTCCTTTCACATATCCAATCTTGGGTCAAGAAAACAAAAGGGTTTATGGGCATGGCTGATGGGCAAGTTTTTTGACAAATCAAGTGACCACTCAAAGCGTCATGTTCAGACTGTGATTGATTATTGCATCTAAGAAAATGAACAATCTTACCAAGTTATCATAATTATAATCCTTACAGTTAATGTAGTGTCTTTCACAGGAGGATGTCTCAAAGCGCTTCACAGGATTCACTATAAAGTGCTGTATAGTGACTGTGTGTTTTGCGGGTGAACATGGCAGCCAATTTGCACGTAGCAATGCCCAACAAACAGCCATAAAGTGAATGACCAATTTTACGGAGGGGGCGGTGGGGTTTGGCCAGGACACGTGAAAAAGCACTTTTTTTAAAAAAAAAAGACTCGACGGTAAATATTTTGATGAAGGGCAATAACGACGCTTGACGCAGACAATAGCCCTCGCAATTGGGAATACGTTTGCAAGGTCCACATTCACGCCTTTTAAAGTATGACCGCCTCGGCAGGAAGGCAGAGAGCTGGTGTTCCAAAAAAAAAGACGCACCAACAGTGTCCCTTTAATAAAAAAAAGGGAGAAGAGGAGAGAGAGAGAGAGAGAGGAGAGGGCGAAGTGGAAGCATTTCACTGGCTCAGTGCCCTGCAATGTTGCATGTTGGTAAATTGTTAACAGCGGAACTAATAGCCACAGCCACAACGTGCTTTTTTTTTCTGCAAAGGCTTATTTTTAGATGGATAGATAGATAGATGGATAGATGGGCGTTTCTCCCTGAAATAAAGAGATAGAAAGAGAGAGAGAGAGAGAGAGCATTGGGTTGAAACAGCTGAGGTTAGGGCTTCCGAGGCGGAAGTCGTGGACGGATCATCTGATCGTCAGCAGCGGATCCAGTGGTCCCTCCCTCTCCCTCTCCCTCCCTCTCGTTTGCGAACTGTGCAACATGGCTTCCTGGTGGGACCGTCCGGCCGTGTGCGCGACCCTGACTTGCTTCCTTGGGCTGGTGCCGGCAGCCGAGGCTCTGGACGGAGGGGACGCGGTGGCGCTGCTGCTGGGGATAGCGGTCTGCACGGTGGGGGTGTGCGCGGGGCTGGGCTGGTACTCGCGCAAGAGGAACGGACAGTCGTAAAGAGAGAGAGAGAGAGAGAGACAAAAAGGAGGAGGAGGAGGAGGGGGGAAAGAAAAATATAACCGGTGGAGGAAGGGATCCAACCATCATCTCCTCCCTCCCTCCCTCCCCCCACCACCAAGTCTCACAGCCAGACTCTGCTCACACAGCCAGCAAACCCCCTCTGCAAACCCACCCACCCATCCACCCATCCACCCATCCAGGGTCTCCACAGATCAAGCCCGAGCATCTTCGCCTTTTAAGACTTTTGCACTTCAAAATAAAACACGACTGGATTGCAAACCTGCGGATGTTTTATATATATATATATCTTTTTTGGGGGGGCAATCGCTTATCAGCCTTCCCCCCCCACCACACCTACACCCACACCCGACCTAACGTTACTGGGTTCAACGTTTCGACCTGAAAAACTTTCTCCTCCCCCTCTCCCCCTCTCTCCTCTCCTCTCCCACCGTTTACAAGCAACTGGTTTCGTAGACCGTCCTGGATGTTGGATCAGCAACAGAGCATCTGGATCCCCACCACAGAGGAAAACCAACCCCCACCCCCCCTCCACCCCAAAAAAAACAACCCCCCACCACAGGCTGCTCTGCTCGACCTCTCTTGTGTTTTACAAGATCTTCAAACAAATGACTTGCGGGGGGGGCAGAAAAAGTGGAGAAAACGTTACAATCCGGAAGTGTTCGTCCTGCTGACACAGGCGTTTATTTCGTGTGGACAAGAAAAAAAACACCACCAAACATTCAACCGGTTCAGTTGTCCTCTCTCTCTCTCTCTCTCTCTGAGTTGAGAGCCGAGCGCCCAGACGCTGAATAAAAACCCCATCTTAAGCTGCTGAACTGTTTCCTGACATTCTGAGTTATTTCCAATGGTGATTATATTGCGCACATCTCTGTTACTGAGTCGCTCTTCTTTCGCTTTCTCTTTCTCACTCTCCCTCCCTCCACATAACACACACACACACACACACACACACGTTTATTGGCATCTAAGCTGCAAAAAGAGAGAGAGAAGCCTTTGTTCCTAACCGAGAAGTGCTCTTTCCCTGTGCATTTTTGTAGGTATTATTTTAATGTGAGATCTTACGTGTTTTTGTACCTACAGCATATTGCGAAAGGTTACAGAGAGTGTGGGGGAGGGAGAGGGAATTATTGTGGACCAACACACCAATGTAATGGCTGAAATGCAGTGCAGTTGGAAATGCAGCGAGACTTGTACTATTTCTGGATTTTTTTGGAACTATAAATCACTATGGATGTCGCCTGTGGTTTGTAATAAAATAAAGCTTAAATTTGTAAACGTGGTCTGTTATTTTTTTTACCAATAACTGCTTCTATAAACGCTGCACTCAAGTTTTTAACCCAAACACTAGTTGTAATGTTATTTTCTGTTACTGGTGATCTTACTGGATCACATTGCTTTTGCCATAGGCCCTCTGACTCACTGTTGCTAAGAAAAAAAAGCACAAAACTTGTGGAGTCACTTCCTCATTTTAAACACAAAACCACAGAAAATGTTATTAGAAATAATTCCTGCTATACAAAGGTTTATTGAATGAGATTGTATATATTTTTAAAAAGCTCAATTCAGATTTGCAATAAATAACTGATCTAACAGCACCTTTTCTCTACTTCGCCTACAATATAATTAATAATCCTTGCTGTCCACAAACATTTGAGTGGAAGTGAGTCCCCTCAACAATTACACAATATGATACATGAGTTTACTGTACAAATATGTTCCAAACCAATAAACAAAAATAGAACAGAAACAGGACACCAGGCCTATGAACTGTTTTTGTCTTCATTGTGTACATATATATTGTGTGTATATATATTTTTGGTCAGCTGGGTGTCTGACACATGCGGAAACCCACCTCCATATTTAAGAGTATCTAATCCAAACTGAGTATTATAATCCTATTAATCCTTGCATTTGATCCTTTCCTTGATCTCAGCAAACAGCTTCTCCTCCAGCCCTTGCACCATCTCGTGCTGTGTTCCTCAGGGCTCTGTCCTCGATCCCCTCCTCTTCACCCTCTACATGGTCCCCCTTGGTGACATCATCTGCAGACATGGGGTAAATTTCCACATGTATGAGGATGACAACCAACTCTCTCTCTGCCTCCACCCTCAACTCCAGGACCACTGGCACCCTGACCGACTGCCTGTCCGACATCAAGTCCTGGACGAGGGACAACTTACTTCAACTGAACGTCAGCAAGACCGAGGCCCACCTGATTCACTCGCGCCAGCACCTTTGGGTGCTGGCAGCATCAGCATCAACGGCTCCACACTCAACCTCACTAAGCCAGTCAGGAACCTGGGTGTCTTGTTTGACCCTGAATTGTTCTTTCTCCCCACATCTGCACGATGACCGGCACTGCCTCCCACCACCTCCACAACATGCCAGACTCGGCCACTGTCTCACCCCTCAGGCTGCTGAAACCCTTTCCCATGCATTCGTCACATCAAGGCTCGATTATGGAAACTCCTTCCTTATTGGCTTCCCCATCTCTTCACAAGCTGCAGATCATCCAAAACTCTTGTGCACTCTCACACACCAGGCTCTGTGACGCCATCACTCCTACACTCGCCTGACTCCACTGGCTCCACATCCCTCAGAGGATCGAATTCAAGATCCTCGTCCTCACTTTCAAGGCCATCCATGGCCTTGGCCCCTCCTACCTCTGACTTGCTGACTCCCTACCAACCTGCCCACCCACTCCGTTCAGCCTGCTCCATGTCTCCTGCCGACCCCCCCTACTATCGGTGGCCGGGCTTTCAGCCTCTCTGCCCCCACAATCTGGAACTCCATCCCACAGTCCCTTCACCTCGCTTCCTCCCTTACCTCCTTCAAGGCCGGTCTCAAGACCCTCCTCTTCGATCGTGCCTCCAGTCGCACTTCCACCTCTCGGCCATTCCTCACCCCTACCCCAACCCTCCCCCACGCTCGGGTCCTGACCCCCGACTGTCCAGCACCTTGGGACGTCCTCCCGACATAAAAGGCACTCTATAAATGTAATTTTGTTGTTGTTGATATTGCATCTTATCACGTCTTGGATGTCTCAGAATATACTGTAAAGTGAATTGACTGTATATTTTGTGGGCGAAATAGGTCAATGGCGCACAGCAGTGTCGCACAAACAGTTGTGGATTGAGTGACCAAATATTTTTAAAGGAATTATTACCCCCGGAAAAGCAATCTGCCAATCGATTAACAACTGGATTCCTACCTAGGGTAAACAGAGAGGTATGGAGTAAGGAAACTTGCTCAACTTTTCGCCCTGCCGGGAATTGAACCCAGGTCCTCTCGCTTGCAAGGCGAATGCTCTAACCACTAAGCTACAGGACTCCACAATTCCATGCATTCCACCTACACATGGAAATTCCAGAGATAGGTTGTTGGAATGGAATGTGCAATCTCTCTCTGGAGGGACCATCCCCTGCTTAGCTAATTCCAAAAAGTATTAGGCCCTCGTTGGCAAGAGCCAAGGCTTGGGAACACCAGAGTGCGGGGTTCCAACATTCCATTGGCAAGCATAAGCCCGCTTAATATGTTTGTATTATATCCCATTATTTTCTCAGAATAACATCACCTTATCCAAGTACTACAACACCCCAACGTTTCTCTTTAACGTTTGTACAATGGTTGTAAAATAAGGTTTCAGTAGCCTTGAAACCTGGAGTGGAGTTCATATATCTCTCTCCCACTTTATCTCAACACCTCCTCTCTCTGCATTAGAGAAATTATGTACTTTTTAATTAACTGGAAAATTATTTTTAATATAAAATAGTTTATTCATGTACCCTCACCCTATCCACCCCATCATTGGCTGGTAGGCTTTCAATCATTCTCCCCCCACTTTCTGGAATTCCATCCTGGGAGTCTCCCTAACTACCTCCCTCCCTCCCATCATTCAACATCCACCTCAAGACGTACTCTTTGACCATTCTTTCGGTCATCTTTCCTTCCCTGCTTCCTTCGGTTCCCAACCCCAACTTGGGTGCCCCAAGCCAACAGTGTCAAACACTTTGAGATGTTCTTCTGACGTGAAAGGCGCTGTATTAATATAAATTGTATGTCAGACTTGGTGCAGTGCTTCTGTCTCCAATTGGTTCTTCCATGATTCTGACCTGTTCCACAGCCTAGTTCGGTGCTGTACGGCCTCTTCCCGGGCACCCACAGCGAAACCCGTATCAAGTGTGCCTAGAAAATCATAAACTCGTTAAAAGGAGGCCCTTTGGCACTCCCGAAACCAGGTGTTCTTCTGGCAGAACAAGGGGGTGAGGGTCTGCCTCAGGCTCAAGCTCGCTAAGATCAGGGACTATATACCCAGGGACAAGCTGAAGTTCGGCTCAACCATGGCAAAGGCCAGATGGGGCCTGACCCCGGGCAGGAGCCACTCCTGCACAAACTGCTCAGGGCGCATCCACCGGGTAGCCCACAAGCACACCTAAAATTGACTGAAGTAAGGGTACAGAAGGATGCTCGAGATGTAACTAAAGAGCATCCTGAAAATGTATATACAGTAAACATGTGTGCCTATGGTGCACATCGGGGCGCCTTCTGGAAGCGGGAAGTGCACCTTATCAGGGGTGCACATGGATGTGGTGTACACAGGGGCCACTCTCGACCGTGTTGAAGGCAGCGTCCCCCCCAAAAAAACGTGTGCACAACCTATCTGAGGGGAAGGAATGTACCGCAAACAACGGAATGTTTTTTGTATCGGGAGAAGGGGGAAAAATTGTAACAGAAGACGTTGTGTTTGCGTTTGGATTTCTGTTGTACTAAATATTATGTTTATAAATAAATATATATTTTCTAAAATAAAGTTCCACGGGCTAGTTCTCCCTCTGGCCAGCACACGCCGGCATCATTACGATCGATATACTTATGGATTATTGTACGTGCATCGTGTATATCCCTCTTGCATGCATCTTGGGTCTAATTATACATTATAATAAACAAACCTTAATTACTTATGAGGTCGTTCAGCCAAGCTGCGAATTGCTGGTTGCAAGTATGGATCTAGATTGCGAATTAAAAAATCATTGATTCTGAGCAACTTCGCAAAACATTAACAACCCGCCGGAATACTAATAAAACAATACCATGGACGATTAAGGTAATGTGGCGTTAATAATGCCCCCGCGGAGCAGATGTGGTAAACGTCCAGGACGGTCTGGATGGACCAGTCCGGTGGGCACGGTGTGACAGGGGCGGGCGCGTCTGCGGTCCGTGCCGAGCAGACTGTTGCCACTCGCCATCGGTATCGGCATCGGCGGTTTAACTCACGGGGTTATTAACTACTTATGGCAGCGGAACGCATTGCAAGCAACTGATGGAGATGGGGGGGGGGGAAAGGGTAAGGTGGGATAAATGAGGTCTCTTGAGGCGCTGAAGGTTATCTCTTGCGTGAGGATGGGTACCGGCTGTTTGCTGGGAGGAAACGACATAAATTAGCGTGAAGCGTGTCCCCCACAGAGCGGGGTTGTTGAGGTGGGTGGTGGGGGGGGGGGGGGGGAGGTTTTTTTTTGCATATATGTGTCAGCGTGCGTGCTTGTCAGTGTATGTGTGTGTGTGTGAGAGAGAGAGAGAGAGAGAGATGCGACAGGAGAAGACGCGGCTTGGATTACAAATAGCCTCGGTGCGCAGTCTCGGGCTCAACCACTCTCACTCTACTCACTTCCCAACAAGGCGACCGACAGCAGGAAAAGAGAGAGAGAGAGAGAGGAGAGAGAGAGAGAGAGAGAGGGAGCGAGAGAAAGAAAGAAAGAGAAAGAGATATATGTGTATGTAGAGAGAGAGAGAGAGAGGACAAGCAAATCCTCGCTGCACAACAGCCCTTCCAACAACAAAAAAAAACACCCCACAGGTACGTGTTTTTTTTTCTCACCCCCCCCCCCCCACCCCACCGCCTTTTCCTCTCTGCAAATCAAGAGATCTTTGTTTGATGATAATAATACCAACCCCCCCCCAAAAAAAAAAACCCACCATAGGGGACAAATGCCCATTTTAACGCGGGTTTTTTTTTTGGGGGGGGGGTTGTTGTCGTGGATTTGTTGTATTCGAACATTGTAACGAGGGTGGGTGGGAGTGGTGGTGGTGGTGGGGGGGGGGGTCACCCTTTAGACGTGTGCAGGAAAAGAAGGAGTCTTGTGTGTATTGTGTGTATTGTGTTTGTGTGTCTTTTTGTTTAAGGTTATGTCTAATGGATGATGGATATTCATTTTTGCAGCCTCTTTCCCCCCCCCCCTCCCCCCCCACCCCTTCCTCACCCACCCCCTCCCTCCCTCCTCCTCCTCCTCCTCCTTCCTCCTCCTCCACACTGGGCAAATCATGCATCGAGTATCGCAATCGCTTGGTTATAAAGACGCCTGAAGTGCAATGATGTCCGGGTAGGTAGGGAGAGTTGGTGGGGTGGTGGTGGTGTGGTGGTGGTGTGGTGGTGGTGGTCGTGGTGTGTGAGGAGGAGGGTGGTGTGGGGGGAGATGGAGGAGATCATCAGCTGCTGCTGGATATTTTCTTCCCTGCATTTATATACCCACACGATAGGAGCTGGATGGTGTGTTTTGTGGTGTGTTGCCTCTCTGACTGGCGTTTATGTCTCCATCATGACATGATACCGCACGGCCGTGGCTGAGGCGAATTCCCTCCCCTCCCCCTCCCACCCCCACCCCCCCCCCCCCCAGGAGATCTCCATTGACACCACCTCCATGGCGAACCACAGCCACCCCGACCCCGGCAGCAGCGAGAACCTTCTGCAGACGGTGACTCCGTTGGCCACTTTCTTCAAGCTGACCTCCCTGGGCTTCATGATCGGGGTCGGGGTGGTGGGGAACCTCCTGATCTCCTTCTTGCTGATCAAGGACAAGACCCTGCACCGGGCGCCTTATTACTTCCTGCTGGACCTCTGCTCGTCGGACATCATCCGCTCGGCCGTCTGCTTCCCTTTCGTCTTCCTCTCGGTCAAGAACGGCTCGTCGTGGCCCTACGGCAGCCTGAGCTGCAAGGTGATCGCCTTCGTCGGGGTCCTGTCGTGCTTCCACGCCGTCTTCATGCTCTTCTGCGTGAGCGTCACCCGCTACGTGGCCATCGCCCACCACCGCTTCTACTCCAAGAGGTTGACTTTCTGGACCTGCCTGGCCGTCATCTGCATGGTCTGGACCCTGTCGGTGGCCATGGCGTTCCCCCCCGTCTTCGACGTGGGCACCTACACCTTCATCCGCGAGGAAGAGCAGTGCGTGTTCGAGCACCGCTACTTCAAAGTCAACGACTCGCTGGGCTTCATGCTCATGTTCGTGGTCATCGTCCTGGCCACCCACGTCGTGTACCTCAAGCTCATCTTCTTCGTCTACGACCGCCGCAAGATGAAGCCGGTCCAGCTGGTGCCGGCGGTCAGCCAGAACTGGACCTTCCACGGACCCGGGGCCACCGGCCAAGCGGCCGCCAACTGGATCGCGGGCTTCGGCCGGGGACCCACCCCGCCCACCCTGCTGGGCATCCGCCAAAACCCCCAGGGCCAGGGCATGAGGCGGCGGCTGCTGGTCATGGACGAGTTCAAGACCGAGAAGCGGATAGGCCGGATGTTCTACCTGATCACTTTTTTCTTCGTGGCCCTCTGGTGCCCGTACCTGGTGGCCTGTTACTGGCGGGTGTTTGTGAAGGGCCCGGCCGTGCCGCGTGGCTACCTGACGGCCGCCGTGTGGATGACCTTTGCCCAGGCCGGGGTCAACCCCTTCATCTGCATCTTCTCCAACCGGGAACTCAGGCGCTGCTTCAGCACCAACCTCCTGTACTGCCGGAAATCCAGGTTACCGAGGGAACCTTACTGCGTGATATGATCCCCCCCTCCCACTCCCCCTCCCCCGCCCTCCCCCCCGGGACTCCCGAAGGCCGCGTTCAGGACCGAGAGGAATGGGGGCGGAATCGAGATCGGCGGCTCCGTCCCTGCGCGCCGCGGCACCGCACCGGTGCCCGTGGGGTTGTTTTTTTTTCGGTGCTCTGGATCCGGGGCGGATTTACAAAAAGAGGCCGTTGATCGACGACGACGACGACGACCACCACGACCACGACGACGACGACGACGACAACAAACCCCCCCCCACCACCACCGCAAGAATCAATCCCGTCTTTTATTTTCGGTCGCCCGCACCCGCCCCCGTGTTAACATTCAAGGTATTTCGATGCAAAAAAAAGAGAGAGAAAAGAAAAGGAGAGAGGGAGAGAGAGTACAATGTGGATGTATATCATTGGTGTTTACCTGTTATTTTGGGGTTTCCCCCCCCCCCCCCATTCCGAAAAAAAACCCCACCAGATTTTTTTTTCCAGAAAGGCTGTGGTATTCGTGCAAAAGGTGAAGTCGTTGTATAAATACACTTTTTTTTCTTTTTCGAAGCCATCAGTCGAGTTCAGGCAAAAAATGTTTTTTTTTAAAAAAATCGGTTTTACGTTTTTTGACCCAATGGATAGCGACTCTCAATGCATCGTCGTCCCATCGTCCATCAGTTGGATGGGATACTCTCTGAACTCAACGCCTTGTCATTAGAGAGAGAGAGAGAGAGAATGATGGGGTTGGGGGGGGGGGAGTGGGGAGAATCCAGGTCTTTAACCTGGTGACTGGCATATATAATTGCAAGTGTGTAAAGCAGGTTATTTGTTTTAAAATGCCTCAAACTTGGAGAGAGCAACCTCCCTCCCTCCCTCCCTCCCTCTCCTCTTCACACAGACTGTGTGGATAGAGACGTGGAAGCGATCCCCGACCAAAAACAGATGGTCCTCCATTCGTCGGTTCCTTTAAAATAGGAAACATGGCAGGTTGAGAAGAGGAGGGAAGGGAAGGGGAAGACTTGGGAATAGGTGCAGACTGAGGTGAACCAATTGTGTGTGGCATAGCATAATCTGTGTGCTGCTGGGTGGGGCGCTGCTTTGGAGGGAAGGAGACGAGGGTTTATTAGTAGGGATGTGGGGATGGCTAAATATACTGAAGTTCTTGCTCGATTATCTTTTGGTGTTGAGGGAGTGGTAAGTTTTCCCAGAAAATGTAATGGGTGGGGACTGTGATTGTGTCAGCTTTAGGTGACTGTGGAAGGACTGGGCTGGATGGGGCTAAATGGCCTTTTCTTGCTCCATGCTTTCTCTTGTTTGTACGTCGGTGGGAATGCACTTACAAGTTAATGTTTGAATATGTACAAGTTCTTTCAATGTTTCCTTTAAAACTACCTTTTTTTTATTTGGAAGACACTCAAAATTGTTCCAGTATGTGTTTCCATGACGTCAAAGTGGTTAGATCTTCTGCCCGATCATATTTATGCAGAACAGCACACAGAATTGATGTCTGTTTCTATATATTTTTAGACAGCTGTCATGTCTGATGCAGAGCCTTAGTATCGAACCTTGCACAATTTGTGTAATATTAATTGTATGGATGCACACTATTACAATGTTTCTGTTTGCACATTGTTCAAATCTCGTCTTTTGTGTTCAAACTATGAGATTATTGTTCTATCACAATTCTCTCCAGGTTATAAAATAGGTGATATTGCAATCTATATGATTTGTTTAGTGTTAGCAGGTTGGGATTGTGTGTGAAATGAAATACAGCTGCATCTGCCAAAATATTTGTGTGGGATCTCTTATCAACATTTTGGAAATAAAATGTGTAACACTTATATAATAACCAATTTGCACAACTATAGCTGCTCTTTCTTGATGTCGAAACAATTTTTTTTAGAAGTTTACAAATATGAATAGAATTTCAACATTACTATTCTTTGTAATCAGTCTTCAGCAGTTAGCATCTGACAGAAGTAAATGAATGATTGATGGGAACCACAAAATTTACAAATGGCTGATACCAAAGGTACCCCTGTATAGTTTATCATCATTAACCTTTAGATAATGTAATATTCCTTAAATGTGTCCTGTAACTTGAAACAAAAATATTTTTTTCCTTATGAAAACAAAGAAATTAGAAACTGCTTTTGGGAATTGGGCATGCAGTTATACAAACACGTGCAAGAAATCAAACTCTAAATATATTGCAATTACGGGTAGCAGAACTTATATAATTTGTGACCTTCGACCTTATAGACAAGAGAATCTTCTTTCAATCGTTCTCATTTTTTAAAAAATTTGATCTGTATTTTATTCTTGGTTTGAAGACTGGGGTTTTGTATTCGCTTTTCCTTGTATTGGGCTTTAGGATTGTATAATCAACAATTGCCCTAAGCTATTCAATAACAACAGCAAAATTACATTTGTAAAGCGCCTTTCACGGTGGGAGGATGTCCCAAGGCGCTGAACAGTCAGGGATCAGTTGCCATGGTTCATGGGGGAGGAGTGGGGGACGGACGTGGTGAGCCAGTATGAGGATTGATTGAGCATTGATCGTGGAAGGGGAATTTCAGCCCAACTCAGTTGTGTTGTCCCTTGCCAACCACATGCACCAGCATGGGTTAGTGGGTAGCAATCAAGTAAGTGAAGAGTAAACAAACCTCTGGCTCTCTTTCCTGTTATCTGGGGCCAATAAGGCCAACCTCTAGTGATCTAAATGTCATCCTAGCTGAGAACAGCAAATTCAACAAACGTGATCAAAATCAGGACATTCCTGGTCTGGTTAGTTCAGCTCCTCACTGGGTGAATTCATTTTTTTAATATTGTTTGAAGTTCATTCGCTTATTTTCCTTGTTTATCACATATTTATTTTTATTCCTTTTCAACCAATTGCCCAAACAATGTCTTTGTTTTTAACTTTTTCTAATATTTGCCTATTCTTGTTTATTTGTTCACCAAATCTTTATTTCCTTTGTTTTACATTGTTTCTTTTCAATTGCCTATTGTAATTTTTTTTCAAAGTTTGCAAATTCCTTCATCCTCATGGTATTTTTTAGTTTGAATATTTTTCACTTGTTTTACTTGGGCAAAGACATTTTATTTCAAGGTAAATTACCAGACAAATAGTGACCTTTCATAATGACTAAACAATTTGCTTTTGATCCCAGTACAAATCAATAGTTCACCCCACCCCCCTTCCTGTAATAAATACTACAGTACTTTGGTGTCTACGATTTAAATCTTCAGAAGGGGTCAGTGGATGGCAATCAGATGATTGGAAAGTGAACAAAACATTTTAGGTTTCAAGCAGTGCTTAGCACATAAAAAGATTATCTGAGTTTAGATATCAATAGAATGGCCGAATGAAACAATGCATTCATAGAAGATTGTGGTCCCAATCCCAGTCTCCACTGAAACTTAAACTTGCTTCTCACATGAACGGTGAGTTATGTATTTCAGCAAGTTATCACAGGAGGGCAATAGCAAGTCAAAACAAAAATTATGCCCATGCATTTTATAAGTGTGAAGCACTGTTAAGTTTAATGCCAATTGCCTAGCTAGGAGCAACCTACACACAGGGCGTTGGTTGGATTGTGGAATTATATAAATCACCAAGTTTCAGAGATGAGCCAGGTCAACCATCACCAATGTCATAGATTATTGCAGAACTGCCTGGAATCATTTGTCATACCTTCTGGGATTGAGCTGAGCCACAGTGATGTCCCACTTATCTTTTCTCTCTAGCCTTCCCCTCTCGCTTCACAGGATACATATTATCCTGGATAATGATACTCATACCAACCTCAGAACGGTGAAGGCCTGAATCAACCTATCAATTAAGATGAACGGGTCACCAAGGAGGATATCCTCATAAAATTGCATTGCACTGGCTGGTACACACAAGAACTGTCGGGCTTCAAAAAAAGATTATCTGAGTAGAGAAGACATAGTTAAAGAAGAAATCAAGAATAAAATTAAAACTTGCAGAAATTAAATTAACAATTATTTTTAAGTTGGACAATACAATATATATACAAATCAAGGATCCCACTTATGTACTAAAATAAGGTACTTGCACAAAAGCTCACACTTATCAGATCAACTGCAGGAAAGAAGGCATGTAGGGGAGAAGTTTTATGGACCATTTATGAATTATATCCCTTGCCATCAAAGCAATGTATTTGATGGTCAAAGGTTGTGAATTAAGCTTGCTGTTAAATTGAGTCAGTTTCATAATTTAAGCTAAACCAGTCAGATTTATAGTTAATTTAAAACCATGACTGTCAGTAATTTAGACAACATTAAACACAAAAAGATGAAATTAAGCAAAACTGAAGAAAATGTACTTTTGCTTTTACCTTTTTAATATGTTTTATCTAATATTTCAATGTAGGCCTACAAAAGGCCCAAAGAAAAGGTAATTCCAATGTTAATTAGCAACCCACACTTAGAATTTAAAATGAATAAAAATGAGATATATTCTTTCACATTTCAATTCTGGTGTCATAAGTATTTCAGTACTTTTGAATTACTCATATCGGATATTAAAACCTTTAGGCTACCCCACTGCTAACTCTTTACATGGAGGTGAGATGTTGCTTGAATTAGAGCCAGATAAACATTACATTCAACACAAAACAACTGATTTTGTGAGAATGCCCAGAAGACAATTTAGGCTTTCTAATAAATATTTGAAATGCCATGACAAATTGTATGGAATCGACTGTACAGGTTTTGAATACTTATACTTGCGATTGGGGTTCCATATCATTATATCCAATATTATTATATGTTGTGATCTTAATTAATTATTAACAGATGGCTTGTCCTATTGCTTTGTAAAAACCCTTCACCACTAAAATTCATTATTTGACAAATTTAAATTACTTTGTCTAATAGAATGCATAATTTTACTTTTTGATTGTTTGAATATGAGAATGCTACATATCAAATGCAAGGATTATTATATAAAAGATATAGGACCCAATTTGAATATTGGTGAAGTTTTCAGAAATATTTGATAAAATT